GGTCATAAACTTCAAAAAGACTCGTACATCAAAGATACAACAAACAGACAATTAGAAAAAAACAAAATAATATACAACAATGACTTCCATAATGAAGAGAAACAGCATCATCAATCAAGACGACCAACGCCTGGTCGAAGAATTTGCGAGCCTCGCTTCCGTCGCCAATCCCGCCGACGAAAAGGCCGTGCGGCGTGCAAGCCGTGCCTCCCTACAGTTTTTCCAGCGGGAAACCAGCAAGCGAGAGATCGCTAGCGATCTTCCGGTGGCMCCTGCTCCGAGGCGCACCAGCCGAAGAAATTCCTTCATTGGCCAGGACGGAAAAGTCCAGGACGAATACATACAAAAGAGGGCCGGCTTGAACAAGCCGACGACGAAGCTGGAGGACAAAATTCCGGTGCTGGCCGATCTGACGGAAGCCGAGAGCATCACACGGGTGGACGGGAATGTCCTAGCACAGATGTTTGTCAGCGGATATGCCAAACTCAACGCAAACGTCGAATACCTCAACAAGATCAAYGTCTTTCCGATCGCCGACGGAGACACGGGGGCCAACATGAAGGTCTGCCTCAAGCTCCCCTCCCGAAACCTGCTGCTGGACCCCTCCCCCTCCGTGCTGAGGGTGGCCTCCAACATGGCCGCCGATGTGCTCTTGAACGGCCAGGGAAATTCGGGGACGATTCTGAGCCACTTCTACGTTAGCCTTGCGGAAGAAATCMGGGACTTTCCCGCTGCCACGTTCTATGAGTCCCTCTCGATCGACGAATTCGCCGCCTGCCTCGCTTCCACGGGACGAAAAATGGCCGAAGCCGTTCCGAACCCCGTAGAGGGGACTCTCCTRTCCGTAGCCCGGGACTCGTGCTCGAAGCTTATGGACGAAGCYGAAGAACAGAAGATGAACGAGGAGGACTGCGAGCCGAAATACGCCAACCTGAAAGATCTGCTTGAGATCTGGAACAATCTGGCGCAATCGGAGCTACAAAAGACCCCCGACCAGCTTGTGGTGGACGGTGTAAAGGTACTGGAGAAAGCGGGCGTTGTGGATAGCGGAGCCCAAGGRTTTGTGTACACCATCGAGGGGATGTGGTTGGCCKCGAAGGGGGAACTGCCCGAGGCCTCCGATCCGACTCTCTTCAAAACGGCCGTCAAGCGCAGCGGTGAAGCCAGCTTCGAGGGCTTTGTCGACGACCACAGCATCTGCGACACCARATACCAGTTCTGCACGGAAGCCGTGGTATTGCTCAAGGAAGGGGTYACCAAGGAACAGGTGATGGAGGTCATCAACGAAGAATGCAAAGAAAGCTGTGATGGCTGCGAAAAAGATCCACTCGGTGATTCTGTGGTCTGCGTCGGTGCACCAGCCAAGGAGGGAGGAAACATGCTAAAAATCCACATTCATACCAATGATCCGGAAACATTCTTCTCGAAACTCAAGACCTTCAGCAGAGATCCCGTTTTGAAGAAGGAAAAGGTCGAGGACATGAAAATTATGAGAGAGATCGAGCACGAAAGCAATTCCGCTGTTGACCTGGAAAACGCAAAGTTCAACATAATCGGRCTATCCTCGCTGATGCTGCCGCCCACCGTGAAGGCGGTCAACAGCGACCTCATGAACACTTTTCCGATGTTCTTGGTTCCCCAAGACACCAACGAGCCGATCGACATTCGGTATTCGACMGATACCGAAGCCCTCGTCGCCCTGAACCAGCAACGGAACCCGTCCACCGCAATGCGCTACACAACTGCCACGTCCAGCCCCATGCAGATGAAAATCGAGTTGCTGGCTGCCCTCGCCAAGGGAAAACCCGTTCTGTGCTTTGTCTTTAGCACCGACAAGAAACTSAGTGCCTTTGGTCGCAATGTTCAACTGGCCGTGGAGATGCTGGACAGCGACCAGCAAAAGATGGTCAAAATATTTGTCCACGGATGGGGCCACGACGGTCCCTTTTTGTTGGAAGCCATCAAGTGTGCGAAGGAAGGCAAGACCATCGACGAGGCCATCGAGGCCTGCGAGGATGTCGCCCAGAGAACCTACAGCAAGGTTGGGTTCATGGACTGCGACATGTTCCGCAAGATGAAGGCCTGGAGGCCTGCCCTCTTCCCCGACGGATTCGACATCCCGGAGGGGCACCACATGCTCTCCGGTCCACCCTCYAAAATCCGTCCCGACGGGATCGCGATAGAGAAGAGAACTCAGCTCATGATGGCTCCGATCGGGATGGGCTCTTCCCGGGAAGACGCCTTCGAAAAGGCCGCRAAGCACATCAAGGACGGTCTCGCACCCGGCCAAAAGCTAGGCAACGTTATGATTCCCTGCGTTGGACGCCCCGACTAYGGACACCTCATGGTCCAAAAGATGGAGGAAGCAGGAATCGAATTTACTGAGCCCCCCTACGTGTTCAACGAAGGAATCATAGCGGTCATTATGGGATCCTGGGGATCGATCTATATCATCTACAAGGTGGTCGAAGAATAGGCATCTTTGAGCACCAAAAAAAAGGCTGTATTCATTTATATTTAATTGTAACATTCATTCAAAACTTTTTAACACCCCGATTTAGACTTCCAAGTATTTTTGTCCAATCCGACCGTTGCCTCGCTTGCGCTCATAGTTTTTWTTCTAGGCYGTTGACCGTGTGGTGTGAGGGATCAGTGAAATACCAGTTTCATCTTGGTCATCTGAGACTGTCCCCACACCAGGAGTTCTCCTCCTTCCGCGTCGTTGTTGCCGCCGCTGCTTTCCAGGACGGCAAAGCCTGTCTCGAACGGCGTCGCAACCACCGGATGGCACCTCTTGGGCACCGCGTCGGTGGTCTTTCGAACATCGAAAACGTGCAGCACGCGCTCCTTTGCCACAAAAGCTACCAAAAGATTCTCGGAGGCCCAGGCAAAGGACCCAAACCGGGCGGCGGCCCTGCTCCCGTCGGACCCCGTTTGGCCTCGCCCGTTGTCCCTTCCGTGCTGGCTCGGTGGCCAGAGCGAGCAGACCACCGGTGCCTCGCCCCATTCCGACGATCCGGAAGCGTCCAGCACGACCAGCATCGAYCCACCRAGCGCCGCCAGCTTTTGGTGTCCGGGAGAAAAAAGCGCTTGGGTTACCTTTCCGTCAAAGCCGATCCAGTCGAGGGCCTTCCAGACCGGGGTTTTTGTTTCTTGGCGAGTGCATCGGTAGACCCGAAGCCGCTTGTCGAGGCAGCCGATCCCGATGGAGCCTCCGTCTCCGGCCACCGCGAGCGATAGGACCGCCGAGTTGCCAATGCCAAAGGCCTGGTCCCGAACCTCCATGSTGCCGGCATCGACGAGCACCAGCCCCCCATAGATGGCTACCGCTAAGAGCTGGTGCGGTTGCTCGAGAGRTTCGTCTCCGGCAGAAGTCTCCCTGTCCCCACTCGCCGAGGCTTTCTCGGGAAGAAATTTCAGGCCGTATATGGTCCCTTTGGTTTCCAGTGTATTCCCATTGATCATGAGTTTCTTCCCCGCGGCGGCCGCGAAAGAGCGCCCATTGCCGTCCCAGGCCACGTGATCGACCCAGAGCGAGGTCTGGTAGCGACGGTTGCTTCCGTTCTCGCCTCTCCTTCCCCCTTGAGMATCTTCGTCGCGAAAGGAATAGGACCGCTGCGAGAGGCTTACCGGTGGTTCCGCGTCGTTGCCCAACGGACCGCACTCGATGACGTGGACGGACCCCCGATCGTCTCCAACCAGTAGTCTGTCCGCGCTGGAGCCGGGCGGGGAGCACCGGTGGTGGTGCACGGCGAGGGATACCAGGGAGGGACGTTTCCTCCCGGCCCCGGTGTTTGGTGGTTCCTCCTCGGTTCCGGTCCCGWTCCCCTTTGCCGGAAGCCCGTCTCGCACCCGCAGCGGATCGTGTTCCCAGACCACTCCCCCCGTTGCCGGATCCAGTGCAACGACGGTGGTCCCATCGACCACCATTGSAAGGATGCGGGCGCCGGCGCCGCTCGATGGAGCTAACGGTCCGCCGGTGCTGCTGCTGCTGCTGCTGCTGCTGCTGGAACAGACGATGGAAATGCCCCTGTTCCACGGCACGGAAACGGTCCATGCTTCGCTTTGCACCAAGGAAGCAGCACCACCGTCGTTGAATGAAGGAGGTCGACCAAGACCTTGGCAGCCTCGGAGATCGTTTGCCTCTGTATGGTGGTGGTGGTGGTGGTGGGGTCGACGAATCCGAGATGCCTTGGCTTCGTCGGTTCCGTCGGTGCTGTCGCTGTCGCTGGCAACGCCGCTGGCACCCCCAGCGCCAGCCGTGGGGGCCTCCCTTTTGYGGTCCCCGTCGCTTTCCCAGAGCACCATCCGGTCCACCCTGGGGGGCATTTTGTGGGGGAGATTCTTGGAGGCACGCTTCCCCTGTTCGAGGTCCGTCCCGAGCGCCTGGCCCTTTCTCATTCCCGCCGTGTATTGCTCCCAGGTCCCTTCCCTCCAGGACCGCTCCCGGAGAACGACGAGTTTTCGGKTYKGCYKTCCGCCTTTCGTTTGGTGGTTGCTCTTGCTTKTGTTTKYGCTGCCCTCTGCGTCTCGAATGGGCCGGGAATCYCTCTCCCGTGGCCCGGCCTGTTGTTCCTCCTCCCCTTCTTCTTCCCGGAAGAGGAACCTGGCGTCGACCAGCCTCGCCCCGACCCCGTTGACCCGCACGAAGCAGCGCAGGACGACGGCCAGAAAACCGTGGGCTTGCGCCSYKCYCCCCCCAAAGACGACCGCCGCCACGGTCAGAAAGGAATAGCTGTGCGGATCGAGGTTCTGGATCCACAGCGGGATCGTCCCCGTCGAGTACAGCGGAAGGGACCGCTGGTCGTTCAGCAGCCCTTCCAGGTCAAAGGCGGGGGCACAAGGGGAGGCGCCGAGGGGCGTCCACCCCGGGGACGCGGCCGGTGGGTCGGCGGTGGCAGAAGGTGGGAAAGGCCGGCCCGTGTTCTCTCGCGGGAAGGAGGCTTCCGGCGAACCGTCTCTCCCCCCCCGCCGGTTCCGCAGGGTCCGCGCCACCCCCGCGCAKATCATCCGGCCCCCGACGCACTTGCAGAGCGGGGGCCGGAGCTCGGCGGCGATCGCGAACCGTTGGAGGACCGCAGCTTCGGCCGGCGTTTGCGGTTTGGAAAGCTTTTCGAAGGAGGTCGTTGGTGTCGAACGGCCGAAGCCTTGTTCCGGCCCGGTTCCCCTTCCGATGGGTTCGACCCTGGTGGCGTACACCGTCGTTCCGTCCGGCTGGGCCGCCTGCGGAGAAACGGAGGSGCCTTGGGGGAAAGCTTCCACGGACCCCGCGTAGTTGGTGGTGTAGGTGTAGTCCCACGCATCGGGAACGGCGCCCGACGAATGGGGAAAGACGGTGGGCCTGGGGGAATCGCCGGGCCCGCGCTCCATGTCCATCAGGGCCCAGGTCCGCAGGGCCTCGAGGGCACAAAAGGAAATCCGCGTCGAACCGCCGCCGCCGCTGCTGCTGCTGCCATTGCCGTTCTTGTTGTCGTTGCCGTTTTCGTTGCCGTTTTCGTTGCCGTTAATGTCGCGGTTGGCGGGAGAGCAGGTCAGGGACAAAAAGTTGGACCCCCAGAGGGCCTCCGGGAGTTCCTGGTTGGCAAAGCGGGTGAGGTGGAGCTCCTTCTTCCAGGCCGCGTGGGACTGCTTCCGGAGGGACTGCGGGTCGCTGTCGTAGATCCTTGTGGACCGCAGGCAGTCGACCACAACGCGCCACTCGCTCTTGTTGTCGTTGCCGTTGTYGTTGCGGATGYCGCCRGTGGTTTYATTCGCCGGCGTCCAGACAAAGGATTCCATGGCAGAACGGAACGAAACGAAACTACCGCTTCGGTGCTGTGTRCTGGGCTGTATTTTTCTCTGTCGAAAGGGAGAGCAAGCGAATCGAGCGGACGGATCGGGTACCAATGAATGGACGGGCGGATCTAGCCAGAGYTGCCCCCGCCTTCGTGTATCATGGATGGATCSTTTTAAAAACGAAAGATTTCTGGTTGATTTGTTCGGTGGCCTACCAAAACTCCTCGACGGTTCTATATGACCGAACGCTGTTGTTGTTAGTGGTGACGGTGATTGTGGTGTTTTGATTGATCCCGATAC